CAGAGCCTGCTCAAACTCATGTCCATCGACTCAGTGATGCCATCCAACCATCTCATCCTCTGTCGTCCCCTTCTCCTCCCACCTTCAGTCTTTCCCAGCATCAGGGTCTTTTCCAATGAGTCAGCTCTTCGCATCAGGTGGCCAAAGTATTGGGGTTTCAGCTTCAGCGTCAGCCCTTCCAATGAATATTCAGGACTTGGATTTCCTTTAGGATGGACTGGTTGGATCTCCTTGCAGTCCAAGGGCCTCTCAAGAGTCTTCTCCAACACCACAGTTCAAAAGCATCAATTCTTCGACGTTCAGCTTTCTTTATGGTTCAACTCTCACATCCATAAGTGACTACTGGAAAAACCATAGCTTTGAGTAAATGGACCTTTGTTGGCAAAAATGCTGTCTGCTTCTTGATATGCTGTTTAGGTTGGTCGTAGTTTTTCTTCCAAAGAGCAAGCGCCTTTTATATATTGTTTTAATCAAGACTTTTAGGGAAGTAAATAACAAACTCCTTCAGGTCAGCTTAAGATTGTAAGACACTGGAGAAGTTCAGAGAGTCCAAGGAAAGGTGAATATTGAGGGGTGGATGAGAACCAAAGCCTCGTCAGCTCCTTCAGCAGCCAGCGCTCTCTGGGGTCCTGGCCCTAATGCGATTGAGCTCACCAGCCCAGTCCCCGGCCTCTCAGCCCAGACTCCTGAGAGGCAGGGCTTGACTGGCCCGGCCCGGGCCGGCTGTCTCTCCAGGCCTCGCTCTGGCCAGGAGGGCGGGCTCGCGGGGACACTCCTGGCTGCTGACCGCCTTGTGCTGGTCGGGGGGTGTGCTCGGAAGCCGGGTCCCTGGCAGAGGGGCCGCACAGATACCCACGTGATGTTCTTCTGTGCCTTCTTTTTCTCCAATATCCATGTTCCTGAGCAGGAGGATTCTTCAGTGAATTTATCTGGAGCATAAAAACCTTGAGGGAAAAAAAGAAACCAAACAACTGTTCTGTGGAATGTTAAATACTCACAGAAGGACCAACTCCTGAGGAGAGAGAAAATTTCTTCTCCTCTCTGTGGATACGTGTGGGCAGCTGGGAGCTGAGAAATGGAAGAATGGAGAAGGAACTTAATAAAAGAAGGGACTTGCCTAACACTGCCCAGCACCCCAGCCCGGTTCTCCGCACTGACCACAGCGGCAGGGCGGAGGATCCCAGGCACGAGGCCCTTTCTGGAGAGCCCAGCTCTGGGTTTGGCAGGTGGAGGTGGGGGGTGTTCCCCGGGGGTCCGGGAACCCCAGCTGAGGGAACCTGGGGGTCTGATAGGGGAAGAAGCAAACAAGGGGTAAAGTGAGAGGTGGGGGGTCGCTCCCGTCGCCTGGCGCTGGCATGTAGGCCATGCTCCTGGAGGCATTGGTGTCCTCATTACTCGAGACATGCAAACAGCCGTAACCACCACTGCAGTGGAGACGGGAGCTTCCCTGGAGTCAGACCGACGTGCGTTTACATGTCTGCTTTGAAATTCCCAGAACTGAGGTCTCCTCTCTGACCCTCCTCTTTTCTCATCTCCCCCTTCTTAGCCCTCGGTCCCTCTCATTGAGTTTCAGTTTCCCGCCTTACCTACAAAGGGCGTCTGACATCCTCCCACGGCGCCCAGCTCCCCTCATTTCTGCGTCATCCGGGGCCATGTCCACACCACCCACAACAGCCTTCCCCGGGGCAGACCCCAGAGGGTGTCACATCATCACCTCCTTCCGCTTTTTGTGAGCCCACGGTGGGGCCCAGAGTCCTCCCGAACCCCAGGGATGAGGAGGAGCGGGCCAGAGCCAGCCTTCGGGGTGAGCCCGGAGACAGGCGACCCGATTCTGCTCTCGGATCTGCTTGCCGACTCGCCCAGGGAAACTCGGCACATCCTCTGCGTCTGTGGGAAGGGATAATGGGACTCTAGCAGCCTTCCCTTCCTCCGGGCCAGCTGGGGCCAGGTTCCGGGCTCCACGTACGTCCCTCAGCGAACTCTCCCCGTCAGCGTGCGCCTGGGCACTATTAAAACTCCTGTTTCGCAGATGAGGAAACTGAGGCTCAGGGCACACATTCCATGGGTGAGGTGAGAGAACGCTTGGCGCTGCAGCCTGGGTTTGATCCAGGGACTCTGACTCCCTGCACAAACCTCCCTAAAATAGCTTTCATTTTCTGGGGCGTGTGCTATTTTCCAGGAACCGTGCCGAGTACTTTGCATCCATTTATCTCCTTGAGTCCCGGCTCCTCATCATAATCTACCTCAAACGTCGCCTCTCTGCCGTGTCTTCTGAGGCTCAGCCCTCGCCCCGGCTTGCTCAGCTCCTCTGTAACACTTGGATGATGAGAAACCCATTCTTCGGCGTATGCGTCCCTTCCGCTCTGGCTCCCTGTGGCAGAACTGAAGCCTCCTGAGGCCTGGGACCTTGTTGGTTGGGCCCGCTTTGTTGTGGCCCTGACACCTCTGTGCCTGTTTGGCACACAGTCAGCACCATAAGTATTTGCTAATAAATCAGTGAGTCCCAACTACTCGAGGACACGCCGTTGCCAGCTGCATGTTGCAGGGAAGGAAATCGAGGCCCAGACAGGAAACAACTTGCAGAGTCGCTGGGTGATGGAGCAAGGATGCAAACCCAAGCAGGAAGCCTCCAGAACCTTCCGTGATGATTCTTCCACAGCCTCTCCCACCCACACACTTGGACACGCAGACACCCTTGGTCTTTATCTTGCAGGAGACGGAGGGACTATGGCTCTCCTGGGCCCCGGTACCCACCTTCTGAGTCAGCGGACCAGCCTGGCAACAGGGCCCTGGCTCGCTCTCCCTCTCTCTCCGGGAGAGTGCAGAGCTTTGGACCCCTGTCGAGGCCAGGCTGACGGGATTAGAGGAAACAGCTGGCCCAAGCCTGTGCCCTGCGGGAGGGAGCTCACATTCCCGGGACTCCGGGAGGGGAGCAGCTCCCCGTAGCCCAGTCACATTCCAGGTCGGTCATTTTCCTGAGCCCAGATGTCTGCTAATGAGCTGGGGAGAGAGGCTTTCAGCCCTCTACCCCAGAGCTGGGCCCCGCATTGCCTCGGCCCCAAGAGGCTGGCCCGGGGCCAGCAGGCTCTGGCTGCAGTCCTGTGCCCGGTGCCAGCCAGGCCTGTTGGGGCAACTGGTGCGCGCCTGCCAACCAGGTGCATCTCCGCACGCTTGGAGATTCTGACGTGACAGGTTCTGCCTTTCCCACCGGGGCCCACCACCCTGGTCCTAGCAGTGCCCGAGGCAGTCAGGAGGGGGCGGTGGACAGAGGAGCATGGGCTTTGCGGTCTTGATGGGTCTGGGTTCAAGTCTGGACTTTGTCCATCACTAGTGGTGTGATTTTGGGAGGGTAACTAGGCTTTCTTTCTTTCTTTTTTGTAACTAAGCTTTTGATGCCTTGATTTTTCTCATCTGTAAAATGGGAATAATGGTAGGATTGTGGTCAGGACTTCATACAGTAAAGCAAGCATGGTGCTTAGCATAATGCCTGGCACATAGTGATAGCTGTTGACAATATTAGCAAGTCACCTTCTAGACTCTGTGTTCACATGGTAGCCTTCTTGTAATTACCAGTCTTCACCAGACAGATGTGACCTAATCCAAACCCCATGTCCTTGACTCGATGGTTGGGTGGCTGAACTGTCAAGGGCTCTCTGTATGATTTGACAAACTCATGAGGCTTCCCAGTTTGCTTCCTGCAGTGGGTTCTCTCAAAGTGTGCCTTCCTGGTGGCTCAGATGGTAAAGAATCTGCCTGCAGTGCAGGAGACCCAGGTTCGACCCTTGGGTCGGGAAGATCCCCTGGAGAAGGGAATGGCAACCCACTCCAGTTTTCTTGCCTGGAGAATCCCATGGACAGGGGAGCCTGGCGGGCTGCAGTCCACGGGGTCACAGAGTCAGACACGACTGAGCGACTGACGCTTCCACTTACGACGTGTAGACGTCCAGCCCCTGCCCCACCAGGGGTCCACATTGAGGGGCAGTGTCGAGCACAAAGGTCAGCGTTTCCTGAGTGCCTGCTGTGTACCAGGAAGTCAGCGGGGACCCGTGAGACGTGCCCCTCCAGCAGACCGTCACTGGCCTTCCCGTTACCCAGGGACTGTAAGCCAGTGACTTAGCCGCTCTCTTGGTTTTGGTTCTTTCACTGATGAAGTGGGGACAACAATACTGTTTATTTCATAGATTTATTGTGCGGGTGGAAAGTGCTTAGAATGGGACCAGGCACTTAGTATAGGAAGGTGCTCAATATGCCTGAGCTGTTGTGAGTGCTATTACAGTGATCCTCGTGGGAACACTTATGGGGGATAACAGTTCCTTAACTCAGCAAAATATATTGTACCCCTGTTTGCCAAGCCCTGGGGACGTGCGCTAACACAGGTGATCCTTCAAGGAGCCCATGGTCAAGTAGAGGAAAAAGATCGACTCAGCTGGTCTAGAGGGAAATTACCAGGAACAGAGGTGTGAACCCACTGCTTCCGGGATCACACCAGAGGAGTGAGGGGTTTGTGCTCCTTGAGTCTTGGGAAGGCTTTCCAATCTGGGGCTGGAAGAGTGTCTTTACTAGGAGATGAAAGGAGGGGAAGGGAAGCCCAGGCAGAGGGAACAGCATAACCAAGAGCTTGGAGGCATGGAGAGACAGTGCCGGGTTTGGAGAGGCGGACAGGCCAGCCTACACCATGGAGTTAGCAGCAGCCCGCTAGAAACCACCAGAATGCTGAGCAACCAATGACATCGAACGAGCTGGGAGGCTTCCATCTGGGAGCTTCCAGCCGGGGTAGGGTGAAACGCGCGAACACCAACCACTGCAAAAGAACGCAAAGTTCTGCAACTGTGTCCTGAGCTACTACTTTTCAGCAACAAAGATGTTTTTTTCACTTCATTGGCGAACCTAACAGAGAGGGCACGACCGAAACGCGCCTGAGTGCCCAAGCGCAGCCTGATTCATCCGGTACCCCTCCTCCCCCAGGAGCTGAGGCCGGCCGCCTGCGCTGGGCGCTGTGCTCATCCCCGGAGCCGGAGAAGCGAGTCCAGTTTCTGGCACTCGGAATGGTCCTCCTCGGGACTCTCAGACCCTTCTCTGCACGCGTAAACCAAGTGTCCAGAGCGGAGGCGAGGCCCGGAGGAGGTCGGGTGCCACCGGAATCTAAAGAGCTCAGACCGGCCTCGGTCGTGAGCCGGGAACGGGTCGGGTTTGGCGCGCGGCTCGCGGGGCTGGGGCGCCACGCCCTCGGAGCAAGGCAGCAGCGCCCAGTTCCCAGAAAAAGTAGCGCCCCTCCATCTTTGTCACCCGGCGGCCCAGCGCGGCCCGGTAACCCCGGGCTCGGGGAACGGGAGGCGGAGAGCAGTCCGAGCGCTGAGAAATCCGGCGGAGGATGCTTTAAAGGAACGATCGGGGGGCGCCGGATTCTCGGCCCCGCCTCTGGGGCACCCCCCGGTAGCTCCTTTGCGCCGTCGGACCGCGTCCGACCCCGGCCCGGGGCTCGAGCGCGGAGGCGGGGAGAGGGGGCCGGGGCCGGGCGGCCGAAGCGCCCCCTCCTGCGCGCCGGGAGGGGCGCGGCCCCGGCGCCCGCCCGCTCTTTCTTTCTCGCGTCCCTCCCTCCGCGGCGCCCGCCCTCGCTCCCTATTTGGAGCGGAGACACCCCTGACGTCGGAGCCGCTCTGCTCACCGCTCCCCCGCACCGCGCGCCCGCCCGGGGCCGCAGACGGCGCTAGCGCAGCCCAGCCGAGCCTCGCGGGGCCGCCGCCAGCCCTGCCGGCAGCCTCCCGAGCCTCCCGGGGGCGCCGCGCCCACCCGCCGCGGCCCGCAGACAGCCCCGCAGGAATCGGAGGGCGCGCCGCGCTCCCCTCCGCCGCGCGCGGTAAGTCCCTCCCGGGCCGGCGCGCGGGCGCCCGGCTTCCAGAGGCTTCGGCCGCGGGCGCAGCGTCGCGCGCCCCCGGGCACCGTGCGGAGGCGCCGCTGCCGAGCCCTGGGAGCCCCGGGAGGCTCTGAGACTCCGGGGCCGGGGGGAACGCGGGCGCGGCGCGGGGTGGCCATGGAACACCCCGGCCGCCCCGAGCCGGTCCCCCCGACTCACCGGTGTTTTCCATCGCTCGGTCGGAGATCCGCGGCCGAGCAAGGGGGTGCGCGGCCGAGAGGAAGCCGGGCGGCGGGTGGAGGGCCGGGTCGGGCCGCGCGGGCGCCGGGGCCCGCGCGTCTTCCCCGGCTCTGCCCCGGGGGCCTCGCCGCGCCGCGAGCCTCTTCTCTCCGGGACGTTGCTGCCTCCTTTCTGTCTCCAGGCGTCTGTCTTCCCATCTGGCTGTCTCCGTCTCTCGATTTCCGTTCCCCTAGTCCTCTGGGTCTGCCGCTTTCTTTCTGTTTCTCCCTCCTGCCCGTTTCCCGTTTCCCTGGGCTGGTGCCTGCCTTTCTGTTTGCCCTCCGCCCTCCGCCCGCCCCGCGGTGGGAGCCTCTTACTCGCTCTCTCTGTCTCCCGGTGTCTGTGCGTCTCCCTGGTGCCCCCCAACCCTCGAATTCAGACATCCCACCCCCCACCGGATCGGAGGCCCGGGGCCCCCCAGCGGAGTCCGGGAACAGTTCCCTAGACCCGGGGAAAGGAGCGAAAGCCTCCCCCTGCCTTCCGCCTGCCCCCCGGGGGCCGGGCCGGGGGTGGGGGTCGTCTCCCTGGAACTTAGTCAGGGGCAGGGGAGTCGGCCTTTCCGGGGGCTCAGCTTCCTTGAGTTCCACCCCCGCGAGGCGGCCTGGACAACTGGGCCGTGCTGCCGGCCACCTGCCCGCCCCGCTGCCTGGGCGGGGCGGTTCGGATCTTTTACAAGACGCAGCAGAGGGGGCAGCTGGCCGCCTCGGAGTGGCCGGGGGCGCGGGGCGCGGGGAGGGGGGCGGGGAGATGGCCGGCACCCGGGGACAAGGGCACATTTTCAGCGTTTCCGAGGTCCTCACCCAGCGGGAGGACAGCAGCCTGTAACTCCGGGAACCCCAGGAAAACAGAGGTCAGGGCTGGAGGCCAAAGGCTGGGCTGCTGGCCGGGGGAGGGGGGTTGGGGGTGGGGAAGCAATTTGTCAACAAGGAGCCCCTCACCCTTTGTTACTGTGGCAACCACCGGCCTCCTGAAACTCCTCCAGATGCTGGGGCTGCTGCTTGGGTGTGGTTTGCCCCTAGTTGGGGCCAAAGAAAAGGCGAGGCTAGAGCATCGGTGACCCCCCCTCGACCCCCCGCATCCCCTAAACTGGACCTCCTTCTCCTGGGCCTGTGTGCTGGAGGGTGGGCCCGGGAAGATGTGCGTTTGCCCGCGGAGCTATCTTCATCCTTTAAAGTGAAGTTTCCAAGTGAGTTAGCGCCTTCTCCCCACCCCCAGCCCCTGGGGTCGCAGGCGGCGGGGCGGGCGGGGACGCGGGTACCCGCAGCAGTGGGACTTCTGCCGAGCAGATGTCTGTCTAGGCGGGCCCTGCAGCCGCTCATTAGCATCTATTTGTTTTGGAGACAGTTTGTGGCCAGGAGGGTCTGCGGGCAGGAGGGCCGTGGTCTGGGTTGGGGCGGGGGCGTAGCCAGGGAGGTGGAGCTGCCCGGCAAGGCCGGCAGGCCTTCTGGGCCTGGGTGGCCCTTCGTGTGCCCCCCCACCTCCGGGGGGTTCAGACGTGCTCTGCCAGCGCTGACGGTAGGAAGGAAGCCTCGCCGCGCTGCCGGGCGTCATGGAGTCACAGCGGCTCTAAGCAGCACGCTGGAGCCGGACTTCTCGAGACCATCTGCTAAGATAGACTTTGCCAGGCCCTGCTTCCCGTTTCACGGGCCGAATGGGGGGCTGGGGCAGGTGAAGCCAGCAGCCAGTGGCCTGGCCCCTAACCGTGGTCCTGTCCTGCTCGCAGGCACACACAGCGAGGCAGAGGATGAGCTTGGGCCCGAATCTGTCCCCGGACCCCAGAGAGGGCCTGCGGAGCAGATCGGGGCCAGGGGTCTGAGCCTGCTGCCACCCGCCCTCAGTGGCCCCATTCGAGGAAGTCCCGGCAGATACTCCTTCCAGGACCTGCGGTGGTTGCCTCGCCCTTGCTGGTCACCCAGCCCAGGGCTGCGGCCGGGAATGCCACGCCCTCCGCACCGGCAGCGTGCGCGGCCTGGCCGCTGGGCCCGCCTGTTTTCATAAAGTTGCTGGTCTCTCGGGGACCCCGGCCCTTCAGCCAGGGGCCCAAGGATTAGCGTCTGAGCGGGGTCTTCCCCTCTGCGCCCACCCTGGCAAGCAGAAAACCCTCACCCAGCCATCGTTTCCTCTGCCTGAGTTTCTTCCCCTAAATTCAGTTCCTTTAAGGCAGACGCAGCCCTGGGTTTAGATATTCTGGGACCCGCTGGGGATCTGGCAGGAGGGAGGCAGAGGGGGAGGGGGGCATGGAGGCAGAAGGGCGTGGGCAGGGTTCAGAGAGGGTGAGTAGCCCAGAGTGACTCCAGGCCGGTGCTCCCGGGACATCTGCTGAGCACCGCCTGTGCCGGGCGCCCTCTCCCGAAATTTCCGCGCACTCTGCAGTTTAACTCTCACAGCTGCCCTGAGAGGTGCCCCCATCCTGCAGACAGGAAACTGAGACACAGAAAGGCCCAGGTGAGGGAATCCCCTGGCGGCCCAGCGGTTAGGGCTTGGTGCTTTGATGGCCAGGGGCCTGGGTTCCGTCCCAGTTCAGGGTACCGAGGTCCCGCAAGCTGCACAGTGGCCAGTGGAAAAAAAAATAAGAAGGTTCAAGTGGGTGAGCTAGGGTTTGAACCAGGGTCTGTCACAGCCTCAGCTGTGAATGGAGGAGACCCAGACACCTTCCTTTGTGTGTGTTGGGGGGGTGGGGGGAGGAGGAAAATGGGGAGGGCTAGAGACTGGGGGCATCCGGTTTGATCCATTTGGGAAACAAGTCCCCACAAACCCCGCTGCCTTCTGTGCGAATCCAGGTGTCACCTGAGCCCAGAGGGAGGACCCGCCAGCCTTGAGTGGAGAGGTTTGCAGAGGAGGTTCGGGAAGGCAGACGTGGAAGCTGGGGACAGGCTTGCCTTCTGCTAAGGAAGCCTGTGCTGCCCGTGTGTGCGTCTGGGGGCGAGTGGACCATTGTACCAAGACAGTGCTGGATTACCTGGCCTTAAGGACCCTGAACACTCAGATTTAGCCAGGAGAGGAAGCGGAGAGGGTGGTGGTTCCCGTGTTTGGTGGCGCTGACCCCGCTCTGCACTGGGCGCTCTGCAGCGGGAAGGGGCAGGCCCAGGGTCTTCCTTGAAACCCAAGTCCCTCTGGTGAATGTAAGGTTTGATGGCAGGCTCTAGGCCCGGGTGGGCGTGGGGGGTGGCTGCTGTCAGCCGTGCTGTTCTGGGGACCCTTCCCTGCGGAGCTGGGGGGCTCCTGACCTGACCGGGCCTCAGCTCCACATGGGACTGGGCTCATGCGCCTGGGTCTGGACTGTGAGGTCGGCATATCCAGGGCTGGGCTGGGTGCCTGAGTTGTTGGTAAGCATCTCGGGGAAGATGCCGGGTTCTGCAGGGTGTGAGGACCAGCAGGCCTGGCTCGGAAGCCGGCGTCCTTGCTGCCCCAACCCCGCCTCTGCCCAGGAAGCTTCCAGGGCAGGTGGCCTGTGTCTTTTCCCTGCCCTCGTCCCCAAGTGGGAGACACAGGCTGCCACTTCTTGCTCTGTGCCTCAGTCTCCCCGCTGCTAGGTCGGCCTGTGTCCCCTCGCCTCCCCCAGGGAACATCTCCCTGTGGTGCTGGCAGCCTCCTGGGGTAGTAAGAAGGGCTGGGGATGCCCTCACTGTGGCCCCCTCACAGCTCTGAGGAAGGCTGGAAGCTCCAGGGAGCAGGGGTCCACCATGGCCACACACCCGTCTGCAGGGGGTCCGGAGTGGGATTTGGCCTCTGCCTTGCGGGGCGCCCAAGCTTCCAGCCCTGGCTGTGGCTGAGCCCCAGAGAGCTGCTCGGCCTAAGAGACATAGCCTCCGCTGCTGGGCCGGGGTGCGGGGCCCTGGCCTCTTGCGTGTTCCGGACCGTTCCTTGGCTTCCGCTTCTGTGAGCCTCTCCGAGGTTATCCTGCTGCTGTCTCTGTCAGACCTCGGCTTTAGTCAACACTAGTTGTGTCAGTCAGCTTGAGCAAATCTCAACCTCCCGGTGCCTCCGTTTCTTTATCTGTGAAATGGGGAAAATACAGTATCTGTTTCCTAGAACTGAATAAATGAATATATATATATATATACACATATGTATATATAAGCCTTACAGGGCTTCCCTGGTGGCGCAGTGTCGGTCTGCAATGCGGGAGACCTGGGTTCAATCTCTGGGTCGGGAAGATCCCCTGGAGAAGGAAATGGTAACACACTCCAGTACTCTTGTCTGGAAAATTCCATGGATGGTGGAGCCTGGTAGGCTACAGTCCGTGGGGTCACAAAGAGTCGGACACGACTGAGCGACTTCACTCACTGTAAGCCTTAGAACAGCGCCTGGCCCACAGTCAGAAGCAGCTCTAACTGCGGGGAAGCAAAGAGGGGGTGTGCTGGGCTAGCACCCACAACGCCCCCTGGTCTTACTGTGCTAGTAACTAACTATACTCCTGAGTTCAGTCCAGAATTGAGACTCTCCGCCTGCCCCCCCGACTCCAGCTGTCCCACTGCTGCTCGGAACAGCTGCTTGCGCATTACCCACCTCCCTCAACCTCCCCTTCCAGGCTCTGAACCCCTGGGGGCCCCCAACCTCAGCCCCCTCTCTGCCCCCCAGACGGTGCTTGGGAGACCAGCGTCCCACTGCAGGGAACCGCATGGTCTAGAGGAAGGACACTGCTCGGCCTGACCACTGGGGGCCCTGGGACCACCCCTCTGCAAAACACGGGGGTCAGCCTGGGGGGACCCCCTTCCCCCTCTGGCATTCTGGGTGACCCATGACTTGTGTGAGAGCCAGGGGAGGTTCTCAAGTCTCAGGAAGGAAGGTCCGACTGTTGTATCAAAAAAACCCACAGCCAAACAACTGAGCTGCTGCTTAGAAAAACAAAATACAAGCCAACCAAACATAAAACCTGCTAGCGAAGAGCTGGCCCCAGTGTGGGGGGCAGCAGGGGTTCTTGGGGGCTGGGTGGGAGGGTGGGCTCCCTGTCTCCTGGCCCAGCTCCTGGCTTTGGCTCTGATGCCAGCCCAGCCTCCTCTTCATGCCCCGGGGGAAGGGCACCGTCCTGAGTGGGGTGCCTGCGGGCTGCTCCCATTGCATCCTGGCCGTGGTTTTCAAGGACGGGGCTCCGCTCCTGTCGTGGGGCTGAGGTCGCTGGGCACAGAGAGGCGAACTGTACCGCTGGACCTGTGCGGCTCCTAGGTGGGGGGCCTGGGGCCGGAACTTAGGAGGCTCCCGGGCCGGGCTTCTGCTGGAGCTCAGGGCTGCTGGCTCGGGGAGGCCGAGTGTGGCTGGGCCGGGGCGTGGGGAGAGGCCGGGCCTGGCGGAGTGGGTTGGAGCACCCCATTGTGGGCCCAGCTGGCCCTTAGCTGTGCCCGAGACGGGGAGAGGGGATGCAGAGCTGAGGGAGGCGGTTTCTTCCTCAGCGTCTCTTGTTCTTCCTTGGCGTCTGCTACAACCTGACTCGTGGGACCAGTCCTCACCCTCCAGGGTGGCGGGTCTCCTGAAGCATCGTCATCCCACCTCCGCTGAGCCTTGTTGTGAACCTCATGCCCATCTCAGTCCCTTAGTGGGGTCCCGGCCCCCAGCCCCAGTTCCAGCATCTCCCCATCCCAGCCCCAAACAAGCCCCGCGCTCACCTCTGCCCGGCTTCTGCTCCCAGGCTTCACTTCTGTCCTAAGGGAGCCTACCGTCATTCCCTGCCCACCTGACCTGGCCTTGTGAGGCGCCCTGCAGGGGTCAGGCATCGCACAAAAGCCCCTGGACTCTCCGAGGTCTCGCCGGGGCGCCCCAGGGAACCCCTTAGGTGGGCCTCCGCCGGCGCTGGGCTCGGACCCTGACTCAGCGCCTGAGTGCCTGGGGATGGGAAGGGAGTTGGTGGGGTGATGGAGCCTCCTGGGTGCCAAGGGTGCTGGAAAATTAGGTCGCCAGTTAGGAACACGGCCGTTCTCTTTTCTTAGGTTGTGGCTGTCCTGAAAACATGGGCTTAGCTGTCGGTCTTGGGAGTGAGACCGGAAATGTGTGGGCGAGGGCCTGGGTCAGGACGCAGACTGCCCTGGGATGGGGCAGACCGTCTGGACTCGCCTCCCACCACTCTGCCCGCTGCACCCCTCCCCGCTGGGCTGGGAGCAGGGATCCCCCAGGCTCTGGGATCCAGCGAGATGGCACTTGTCTCTGCTTCCGGGGACCGCGTGCAGGGAGTGGGGGCCGGATCTGAGCTGAACCTTTTGGATGGAGGAGTGGAGCCCTGTGGAGGTGGTTGCAGCCCTGCAGGCCAGCCCCCGGGTCCGCCCTGGAAGCCCCACGGAGCCCGCCCATTGGGTCAGCCTGCAGGAGCCAGCAAGATCCCCGAGCACTTCTCACTTTCCAGCTTTTCACCAAGTACCTGCCCCTTTCAGCAGAAAGGGGGCCAAGGGTCAGGGTGGTTCTGAAGGAGGTGTCCAGGCCTCGGCTAGCCTGACTAGTACCGGGCATCCGTGGGGCCGCTGGGACTGTACTTGGCCTTTGCTCCCAGTTCGGCCCCACCCAGGCCCCTCTGGGGACTGCCCCGAGGCACAGAACCCCAGTTTGACTGAGCCGGACCACTTCTTAAGCCCGCCCTGCATATCAGAACCACCATGGAAGCTTGTAAAAAAAAAAGGCACTCCACCCTAGAACTTCCACTCCACGAGTCCCCAGGGAATTCTGATGCTCTGCCAGGTTTGAAAATCAGCAGTGCAGGGCACCTCACTCACTTTATAGGTGGGGACCCTGAGGCTGGAGTGTCCAGGGTCTCCCGGCCCATGTGGATGCCTGATCCCCGGCCCAGTGCCTTTCCCCAGTGTCCTGCCCCCAGAGGACCGCCTTGTAAGCATTGCCCTCATTCCCGCACCTCTCTGAAACTTCCCGCCTCTAAGGTCTTTGCAGTGGGGGCGTCGTGAAACCTCCAGCGGATGAAGCAGGGGGACGCTGGGAAAATCCCCTCTGAGCCCGCCCTTCGGACGCACACGCTGCCCTGCAGCGCCCTCTGCTGACAGACTCTAGTATCGCCTCAGTGCCTCGCTCCGGGCAACCCGGAGGGTCAGGCCCCTGGCTCGGATCGTCTCTTACTTGACTCAGGGGGTAGATTGGAGCTGGAGACAGTGATGTGTGTGTTGACTCTGGACTTGAAGCATCCGGAAGAGAAATACAGTCTAGTTCGGGGTTGGATTTTTTTTTTCCACCCGACGTTCAGCCGGCCGCAGTGGCACGAGATTTCACAGTGGCACAGAGATGGTTAGCTTTCCTGATGCCGGAGTGCCGACAGCCACAGGGACGGGAGACGTGGCCCTGGAGGACCCCCAGCAGAGCAGTGAGGAGGGGGCTAGTGGCTGCTCAGTACTCAACGGGGTGCTTGCAAACGGCTTTAGTACCTGCCACAGTCCCTTGTCACAGGGCATCACCCTCGCCCCTTTTACAGCACCCCCCTTTTTAGGTGAAGAAAGTGAGGTCCAGAGATAAACAGTAATCTGCTTGGGACTTCCCTGATGGCCCAGTGGCTGGGCCTCTGCACGCCTAATGCGGTGGGCGGGGTCTGGTCCCCGGTCAGGAACTAGATCCCACGTGCCGCTGCAATGGTCGAAGATCCTTCATGCCACCACTCAGACCCGGTGCAGCCAGATAAATACATGAGTGTTAAAAGTAACTCCTGAGAGCTCCTTGGACTGCAAGGAGATCCAGCCAGTCCATCCTAAAGGAGATCAGTCCTGGGTGTTCATTGGAAGGACTGATTCTGAAGCTGAAACTCTAATCCTTTGGCCACCTGATGTGAAAATTTGACTCATTGGGAAAGACGCTGATGCTGGGAGAGATTGAGGGCAGGAGAAGGGCACAACAGAGGATGAGGTCTGATGTGCTGCAGTCCATGGGGTTGCAAAGAGACAGGACTGAACTGAAATGACTGAAAAGTAACTTACTTCAAAGCTACAAAGTAAGTTATAAAGACAGCTAACACATATGGAGTGTGTATTAGCTGCTAGTCTCTCTGCTCAGAGCTTTTCATGAAATACCTTATTTAATCTCCATGATACCCATCTGGTGCTCCTGGTCCTAGCAGCCCCAGGTCTGAGGTTCCTACAGGAGAAATAACTTGTCCAAGGTTGTGCTTGGCTGGGAAGCGGTAGAGATAGGGCTTGAACCCAGGGAGTCCGGGGTCGGCGGGCACACCTGTGGCGCCACTGTGCCCGCCCTCTGCCCAGCCCCCTGGGCCCTGCCGGCCTCACCTGCGGTCTGTGCTCAGTCCTAGGGCTCCAGAGGCCGCGGGCACGATGCTGCGGGTCCTGGTGGGGGCTGTCCTGCCCGTCATGGTGCTGGCTGCGCCTCCGCCCATCAACAAGCTGGCCCTGTTCCCGGATAAGAGCGCCTGGTGTGAGGCGAAGAACATCACCCAGATTGTGGGCCACAGCGGCTGTGAAGCGAAGTCCATCCAGAACAGGTGGGACCCCAGGAGGCGGCGGCTGGGCGGGGTCCGCATAGGGGCCCAGAGGGGAGGAAGGTGACGGGCTGCCCGCAGCGACACGGACAGCAGTCTCTCCTCTCGCAGGGCCTGCCTGGGACAGTGCTTCAGCTACAGCGTCCCCAATACCTTCCCGCAGTCGACGGAGTCCCTGGTGCACTGCGACTCCTGCATGCCGGCCCAGTCCATGTGGGAGATTGTGAGTACAGCCCGCCGCGCCTGGCCTCCCCCAGCCTGGGCCCCGCGGGGGGCAGGGTTCGGGGCTGGCGCTGGGGGTACACGCGTCTGACAGCCACACGTGCAGGATAGGAGCTCTTTCCGAAGCGTGGTTCTGACATCAGTCACTTGTTGAAATCCTTTCGGGGCGTCCCGCTGTTAGAGAGTGAGACCCAGACCTCCGCCGTGCCCCTTAAAGCCCAGCCACAAGCTGTGCTCTGGCTCACCAGGCTTCTGAGCGTCATCCTGCCTCTCCCACCTTCTGTACCGGCTTGACCCCTGACACCAACCCGCCTCCTCTCAGGCTCCCATGCCTACTTGGCTGGCGATCACCACAGGGCCTTTGCGCCTGCCCTTTGCCCTGTTCAGCATCCCTTTCTCCCCCTCCCAACCTGGTTAACTTCCAGTCGTTCCTCTGTTCTTGGCCCGGGAGCCTTTTCTCAGCCCCGTTCCGGATCCCCCAAGCACTGTGTACCCCTGTTTTGAGCATCTTTCACACGCACAGAGTTTTACTTCTCAAGTCTGCGTCCTCCGCTAGACTCTGAGTTCCTTAAAGGACCAGGCCTGGCCTTCAGAGCTGGCACGTCTGCAGAGCTGGCATGGAGAAGGTGTTTGGAGGAAGGAGGGAGAGACGAGGAAAGGAAAAAGGAATGGTGGCTAACGAACGCTAAGTGGGCTCATCTGGGGCGAGCCTCGGGCTGTGTGTGTGTGTATGTGTGTGCGCGAGCGCGCGCGTGGAGGGCCGGTGAGGGTGGGGTGGGGGGCTGGAGGGGCGCATCCAAGAAGCAGTGTCTGGGCTTAGACCCAGAGGTTCAGGGGAAGTTAAGTGGGCAGAGTCTGGGGCAGCGGGGAGCGGGGTGGGTGGGCCAGGCCCTTCCAGGCAGAGGGAACGGCACGTGCAAAATGTTGGGCAGATGAGGCAGCAGGGAGCTGGTGGGAGGGGGGCAAGGTCGAGGCTGGGGGCGTAGTCTATGGCAGGAGGCCTGTGAGGAGTCAGGCCGTGGGAGCCCTGGGGGCCGGTTTCAGGCAGGGGCGGGCCATTCGGGTCCCCTGGAGAGGTCTCCTGGCTGCCTGGGGCTAGGGAGGAAGGTGGCAGGACGTGGGGAGACAGGCCAGGCGGCTCCTGCAGGGACTCACCCCCTCGTCTCCCCCCCCACCCCGACTGTGCCCAAGTGCCCTGGTGGGGCTGCTCAGGCTTCCGGGGCCTCTGGGCTGATTCTTGGTCCCGTGAGCGGGTTGCCCCTGGGGCCTCCCTGCCTGCCTAAGCCCTTGGAAACGCCGCTCCTCTTCCATCCGCCCTGCCCAGGTGACCTTGGAGTGCCCCGGCCACGAGGAGGTGCCCCGGGTGGACAAGCTGGTGGAGAAGATCCTGCATTGCAGCTGCCAGGCGTGCGGCAAGGAGCCCAGCCACGAGGGGCTGAGCGTCTACGTGCAGGCGGAGGACACGCAGGGCGCCCAGCCCGGCGCCCACGCCCACCCCCAGCCCGGCGGGCGGGCCCCCGAGCCCGAGGACCCCCCCGGGGCCCCCCACGCCGAGGAAGAGGGGGCTGAGGACTGAGGCCCCCCGAGTCTTCCTCCCCTCCCGCTCCCTGTGGAATGTGGGGGTCTCGCCCTCCCGGGGAAGAGCTGGGGGGAGAGGCCGAAGCCCCACCTTTGGCACTGGTCGGACTTGGATTCAGACTTGGACTTGGAACGCTTCCCGGTTGCCATGGAGACCTGAAGGGGGTGGGGCTGGGGCCAAGCTGCACAATTTAATATATTGCAGAGTGGGGGGCAGGGGTGGAGATCTTCAGGGCTCTTTTTCGGGGCGGGGCGGGGGAGCTCTTTTCCTGACCGCCTCTGAGATATATGCCCTTGGTTGGTGGGGAGAGGGGTCGTGGGCTAGGCTGCTGAGTTGGCGAAACCATCCAAACTGTGCCAAGGCCCACCCCCCACCCCCGGCCCCCAGAGCAGCATCTCCTGGTGGCACTGAGGTGGCCCTCCTGTCCTTGGGAGTCAGGCCTGGGCAGGCCCCCGCTGACTCCTGGCCCTGGGGCGGGGAGCCAGGCCCGCTGGCTTCCTCGTCTTCCCTGGGGGTGGCGGGAGGCAGGGGTGGAGGGGCCTTCTGGGCCGGGGGGAGGGGATGACTCTGTCCGTCAGACAGCACCCCTCCTCCCCCTGCCCCCCAGATCTCAGTGCCCCACCCCCTGTTCCAGGCCCCTTGGAGTTGATGGAGCCAGCCTCCCCCTCTTGGGGAACTCTCTCTGCACATCTGATGGTGGGCAGGGGTCTCCCTTACCCAGAGGGTTCCCAGGACAGACGTGGTGGGGTGTGGACTCGGGGTGAGCCTCAAGAAAGGAAGGAGAGGAGGCGCGAGGGCTGGGGGGGCGCCCGTGCCCCCCGAGGTGCTCCAGTAGCCGGCCCCGCCCCTGCCTCCCAGCTGCACTTTAGCCCCAGAGGGGGCGGGGGTCCCGGGGTGGGGGCTGGCAGGCAGGAAGGGAGGAACCCCCCTCTGCACCCACAGCTGCCTGCATCCGCTCTTCTGCCCCAGGGCCCCTGCCGGCCCCCCAGCCCCCTGCCAGGGGGAGCCCCGGCCCTCACGGCTGACCCGACAAGAGCTTCTGGAGCTTGTAACCAGTAGACTGTCTCCCCGAGGGACCCTGAGTTTTCTCGTGAATAAATTCCTTCAACACCCGTGTTCTCTGCTGACCCAGGGCGCCCCAAGGGGAGGGCTGCGCATCGAGCCCTGGGAGGACCCCCAGGGCAGAGCTTGGTCTGCAGCCCCCCCACATCCTAGGGGTCCCCGCTTCCCTGCAGCCCCTCCCGGCTCCTGGTTCCTCACCTCCTTCCTGCGGAGGCTGTTTCCGGCCTCACATATACCTTGGGTGGGCCTCGAGAACCCCTCTTCTGACTTTGACCTTTGACCCCCTGGGCCTGTGACATCTCCTACCCTCAGAGTGAGCCAGCCAAAGCCCTTCCCGTCGCCCCAGCCTGGCTTGGCCTCAGGAGAAGGGGAAACAGACAAAAGCAGTGGTTACAGACTGATATGCAAAGTGGGATGCTTTGCTAAGCACTCTTTGTAAATCGACTCACTTCACCCTCCCCACTCGCTTGCGTTGCAGTCACTGCCCTCATTTTATAGAAGAGGCATCAGAAGTGCAGAGGGATTAAGTGACTTGCCTAGGGGTTGAGAAAAGTCTCCAACAGGACTTGAACCCAGGCAGTCTGGCTGAATCACTCTTCTCAGTATAATCGTAGGAACTGCCGTTGGTTCAGTTCAGTTCAGTCACTCAGTCGTGTCCGACTCTGCGACCCCGTGGACTGCAGCACGCCAGGCCTCGCTGTCCATCACCAACTCCCGGAGCCTGCTCAAACTCATGTCCATCGAATCTGTGATGCCATCCAGCCATCTCGTCCTCTGTTGTCCCCCTTTCCTCCCACCTTCAATCTTTCCTTTTGTTGATCACTTACTATGTGCCGGACTGGGTGCTTGACAATGCTTGGGGTCCTTTTCCCCTCAAAATGACCCTATGGATTTGGTATCATTACCTGCATGTGGCTTCCCCAGCTGTGGAAGTTGGGCTCCCAGACTCTCCACTGAGGCCAGGCAGGTGGCGGGAGAACTCTCTGACCCTTCTTCCTCACACGCGTTGCTGTAACCAGCACACCAGGCAGTTTGTAGATGCCTGCTAACTTGCTTCAGTCATGGCCGACTCTCTGCGGCCCTAGGGACTGTAGCCCACCAGACTCCTCCATCCATGGGATTCTCTAGGCAAGAACACTGGAGTGGCTTGCCATTTCCCTCTCCAGGGGATCTTCCCGACGCAGGGATCGAATCTGTGGTTCTTATGTCTCCTGCATTGGCAGGCAGGTTCTTTACCACTAGCGCCACCCGGGAAGCTGTATCATTTCTCATCCATGGAGGATCTTCCTTTTGCAAATGTGAAGAGAGTGCCTTTTTGCTCTGGGAGTGCTTTCCGCCTGCTGGCAGAGAGTGGTGCCCGGATTCCAATCTCGCGCCCTCTGGTGCTGACAGTTATGTGAACACACCTGGTTTCTCCCGGGCACCACGCTTCCCCTGCCCGGCTGCTCTTCGCTGTTGTGTAGGTTGTGGACGTCCCAAGTGCAGAATGGCGCTGCTTGAAATTGTTCAGGACACAACGATCCTGGGTGGTCCTTTGTCCCCCGTTGTGGAATTGGGTTGGAGAAAAGTGTGTGTCCCCTGCGTGCAGCCCTGAGGGACCTTTCAGGCAGGGACAAACTCTGGTCCTTCTACACAGCTGGAGGCGGGGGCTGACTGGAGGGCACAGAGAAAGTACTCAGGGACCAGGTTCAAATGGAGGACTTCCAGGGGTGGTGTTCTTGGTACTAAGCCTCTGAGACCCGAGCATCCTCTTGGCAGAATGAGTCTTGATTAGCAGCTGCCTTCATTCATCCTGTGTATGAAACAGGTGGGGCATAAATGGACAGATACCTAAAGAAATAAAGGCTTCCCTGGGGGCTCAGACGGTAAAGCATCTGCCTACAATGCAGGAGACCCAGGTTCAATCCCTGGGTGGGGAAGATCTCCTGGAGAAGGAAATGGCAACCCACTCCAGTACTCTTGCCTGGAAAATTCCATGGACGGAGGAACGTGGTGGGCTATAGTCCATGGGGTTGCAAAGTCAGACATGACTGAGCGACTTCACTTTCACTTTCACTTTCACATAAAGAAATTAGTAAGGGGCTGCTTGGAGAGCCAGCAGGAAGCTGGGCTGTGATGCCAAGGAGGTGGCCTGCAGGTGGCAGGCCTGGAGCAGCAGCGGGAGTTCAGACTTCACGCTCTTTGCAGTAAGAGCCGTGGAGGTGTCTGCACAGAACTGGGTTTCAGCGAGATGGAAAACAGGCTCGTGGGAGGATGAGGTTTGGCCGGGGCGGTGGCTGGAGCTGGTGACCAGCTGAGAGCTGCAGGAGTCCAAGCGGGAGGTGATGGAGGCCAGAACTGGGGGGGGGGGGGAGGGCTAGGGAAGCGGGGCCTCACGGGAGACGCGCTGCTGATCGGACATGCGAGCAGCCAGCCAGAGAGCCAGACTTAGAGGACAGAGATGCGGCGCTGGTTGTGCCCGTTCGCCGATGGGAGTGAGATGCGAATTGCTGCCCGCTGATTTTTCCCTTGGCCAGCCTCAAACTGAACCACCAAGAGGACCCAGAAGAAAAGTTGCAGGTCCCCGTGCCACCGTTCACCCCCAAACCCCGCAAAGGTGGAGGAATTGAAAATCTTGACAAGGGATAAACCCTAACGCGGCACTGTCCATGCTGGTCTTTCTCCAGGTGGGCGTGGGATTAGCACCGGCTCCCTCCCTCGTTACCTGTACAGAGCCGGTGACTCCCATCTAGTTTCCTCCCCAGCTCTGAGCCTCTGGGAAAATCCAGTCTTCCCGGAGACAAATCCTGGTGGGGCTGTTTCTCGAGCCAGTCCCTGAAGATCTGAGTTTTCCCGTTAGCAAGTTGGGGACTATTGATCACACTCACTTCACTCCCAGGGTCATGGTGAGTTTTGTGTGAATCAGTGAACCTGCAGAGCTTGGAGCAGTGCCTGGCGAACAGTGGGACCTCAGCGAATGTCGGTCATTTTAATACTTATTCCCCATGGGGCTTCCCCGGCGATGCAGTGGTTAAGACGTCGCCTTCCACTTCACCGGGTGCAGGCTTGATCCCTGATCAGGGAGACAACACCCTGCCTGCCTCACGGCCAAAAAACCAAAACCTAAAACAGAAGCAGTATTGTCATAAATTCAATGAAGACTTTAAAAAGGGTCCACATCAAAAATCTTTAAAAAAAATTATTATTGAGAGTAAGTGATTGGCCCGCAACTGCTGATGGTTGGGCTGTTTTGTTCATTCATTCATTTATGGCAAAGTAATGCATGCTGAGGACACAGCGGTGAACAAAAGGTGGTTCCTGGTAAAGAATCTGCCTGCCAGTGCAGGAGACGCGGGTTTGATCCTGGGTTGGGAAGATCCCCTGGAGGACGAAATGGCAACCCACTCCAGTATTCTTGCCTGGGAAATCCCATGGACAGAGGAGCCTGGTGGGCTGCAGTCCATGGGGTCACAAAAAGTCGGACACGACTTAGCGATTCAACAGCAGCAGTAAGCTATGCTGAGGACACAACAGTGAACGAAAGAGAAAACGCCCCACCCTCAGCTAACCCGATGGTTAATGGCTCCTGAGAGCAGCTCTGAGCAGGCCTCCCAGCCCCCCTGGACCCTGGGTTCCCCACCTCTGTCCTGAAATGTTCTTCGTGGTCCCCTGTGTGCTGACAGGCATGGAGGCTTGGGATAGAAGACTTCCTAAGACTCAGCTGTCCCATTATGGCACAAGCTTTCTCTCTCGAGGGAGGGAGCACCCCATGGCTAGAAGTAATCAAGAAAAAACTGAGCGTCCTTAAAAGTCCCTCTCTACCCTGAAATGTTAAGGACATGTGAAAGTGAAGTTGTTTAGTCGTGTCCGACTCTTTGCAACCCCGTGGTCTGTAGCCCACCAGGCTCCTCTGTCCATGGGATTCTCCAGGCAAGAATACTGGAGTGGGTTGCCATTTCCTTCTCCAGGGGATCTTCCCCACCTAGGGATCGAACCCAGGTCTCCTGCATTGAAAGCAGATGCTTTAACCTCTGAGCCACCAGGGAAACTCCAAAGGACGTCTAAGACTGTATTATTCCATGGCCGAAATGACAGATTTAGGTGCACAAACTTTGTAAATGTCCTAAATTCTAGACAATAACTGTGGCCACAAGGTGGCGCCAGTACCCAGGCCCAGTCTTGAAGGTTTTTTTTTTTTTTTTTAATTACAGCAAAGTACCGTTTATAACGGAACAAGCATCTGTGATCCTATCACCCAGAACGAACAAATGCTAACATTTTTGGTCACGTTTTCGTAGTATTTTTTTTTCCAGCCACACCGTGAGACTTGCTGGAATTTTGCATCTCAACCAGGATGGAACTCAGCCCCAGAAGTGAAATCTCAAGGTCTAAACAGTGGACCGCCAGGGAATTCCCTAGATTTAAAAAATATTTTATTTTTTTAAAGGAAGTATAGTTGATTTACAATGTTGTGCCAATCTCTTCAGTACAGCGAAGTGACTCGGCTTATACACGTACACGTTGTTTTTTAAAAAATATTTTCCTTTAGGGCATTACAGAATATGAAGATAGTTCCCTGTGCTATACATTAGGACCTGGTTGCTTATCCATCCTAAATGTTATGGTGTGCGTCTACCACACCGAAACTTCCAGTTCATCCCTCTCTTTTTCCCCTAGATACTCTTTTTACACAAAGGAATCAAACTGAAAGAGATAAAGCAGAGGGAGGCTGCACGCTAAGGCGCTGCAGTCATGTCTGACTCTGCAAAATCCCACGGGCTGCAGCCCGCCAGGCTTCTTTGTCCATGGGGTTCTCCAGGCAAGAGTACTGGAGTGGGCTGCCGTTTCCTCCTCCAGGCGGGGTCTTCCCCACCCAGGGATCGAACTGGAGGCTCTTATGTCTCCTACGCCGGCAGGCGGGGTCTTTACCACTGGCGTCACCTGGGAAGGCCAAAGCATAGGGAATAATATTCAATGTCAGTAAATGCTTAAACATCTTAGAAAGTATTTACTTGACTTAGTTTTGGCGGCACTGGGTCTTCCCTGCTGCCCGTGGCCTTTCTCTCTTTGTGGCAGCCTGGGGCTCCTCTTTGTTGCAGAGAACGGGCTTCTCACTGCGGTGGCCTCTCTTGCCGCGGAGCACGGCTTTTAGAGTTCGTGGGCTTCAGCAGTTGGCATGTGGGCTCAGTAGTCACTGGCTCAGTAGTTGTGGAGATGGGCTTAGTTGCCCCCCATGTGGAACCCTCCTGGACCAGGGATGGACCCCATGTCCCCTACACTGGCAGGCAGATTCTTAACCACCGGACCACCAGGGAAGTCTTCACTATATACTTTTAATTTTCACAAAGCTAAAATGGACCAAGCACATTCTCCATACCAATGGTTTCAAGGCTCAACCCAGGTGTATGTCCACTACCCCAGTTTCCTAGCTGCAGAGACATGAAAAAGCTTGGCCAAGGTCACAGAGCAAGTAACAGAATCGGGATTATGAACCCAGGAAGCATCACAGACAAACTCTTGGAGACAGTGGAGGACGGAGGAGCCTGCCGTGATGCAGCCCTTTGGGCCACAGAGTCAGACACGACTGAATGACTGAAGGATGCCAGCAACACTGGGCCCCGAAGTGTGTCCTACACAGCGCCTCTCAGCTTCGCTGTTGCTCAGTCGGAAGTCCCTGGGCTGGGGAGCGCCGCTCAGTGTCATGGGCAGCCTGAAGGGGGTTAGGGGGAGAATGGATACATGTGTGTGCATGCCCGAGTCCCTTTGCTGTCCACCTGAAACTATCACAACATTGTCACCTGGCTATATTCCAATATAAAATAAAAAATTAAAAAAAAAATCCCTGGGCTGAAGAAGTTACTGCATGCATTCCCATTTTACAGATGGGAACACTGAGGCTAGTATCGAACACTGACACAGCACCATAAGGCTTGCTGATGGTACCAGCAACCCCGAGAGGTGGGTGCTGTTCTGTTCTGCTAGTTACTACCGAGGAGCAAACGGTGGCCCGAGGAGATGGCGTCGCTGGTCCTAAGTCCACACAGCTGGCTAGCAGCGGAGCTGGGATTCCAAGTCTGCTCTTTCTGGCTCTCTGCCCAGAGCTTGGTATCCTGTTCCCTGAGGCAGGACAGAAAGTGTCATGATGGTGCAGGTGGTGTTGGGAGGGGAGGCCAAAGCCTTTCCTCGCTCCATAGACCCAGCTGTGGGCAGGGATGGGACTCTGGGTGCCCCACAGCAACCCGGGACAGGGTATGCAGGGTCTTGAAATTTCTCTGGGTGTTGGGCAGACCTGAGTTTCAGTTCTACTTGATCTCTTGCGGCTGGTGACCTTGAGAGAGGCCTTTGGCCTCTTCTAGCCCAGTTTAACAGTTACCTCTTAGCATTGTTGTGTGGGTTGGAATAATAAAATAAAGCCCCTGGAACATAGCAGGAGGCCTTATTTTCCTGTTTCCGTGGAAGGAAAAAGACCCCAGCCACCTGAGATTTTCTTTACATTCTTCCCCATTTCCTTTTTTTCTATAGCAATGATCATTCTGGGTTTCCCAGGTGGCTCAGTGGTAAAGAATCCAGCTTATAATGTGGGAGATGCAGGAGACGTGGGTTCAGTCTGCGTTCAGAAGATCCCCTGGAGGAGGAAATGGCAACCCAGTGCAATATTCTTCCCTGGAGAATCCCATGGACAGAGGAGCCTAGCGGGCTACAGTCCCTAGGGTCACAAAGAGTCGGACACGCCTGACCACGCACACAATTATCACCCTCATTATCACCCTATGACCACCTTAAATTTTTTTTTGCTTAGTAAACTCTATGAAGTTGGATCTTTGCTTTGGTTTCTGTAGTGTCCCAATTGGACAGAAGAGTGTCTGACACCTAGTAGGTGCTCGCTATAAATGTTTGTTGATTCCATGATATTAACCTGTAACATGTCCAGTAGAGACTCGTAGTTCCGGTTGCGAGGGGCAGAGGAGGAGGCAAGGATACACACAGCAGCCTTAGACAAGGTGTGCCAGGCCTGTCTACCTGTAGGGACTCCACCCCGCCGGGCCTGGGGGTCCCCGGCTCCCACTCCTTAGTAGAGTGAGAGTGCCCACAGCTTGATCCTTCATCCTTAGTATGCCCGGCGCTGTCGGGGGACAGGATGGTTTCTGCTGGGAAGGACTTCCAGGAGGAGGTTGCCATCTATTTAAAGGTTTGCAGGAAGCGCAACAAATTATATATTATATAGGGCTCCCCAGGTGGCTCAGCAGTAACGAATCTGCCTATCAATGCAGGAGATGCAGCTTCCACCCCTGGGCGGGGAAGACCCCTTGGAGAAGAAAATGACAACCCACTCCCACTCCAGTATTCTTGCCTAGGAAATCATAGGATAGAGTCCATGCGGTTGCAAGAGTCAGGACAGGACTTAGCGACTAAAGAACAACAACATATGTGTAACATACATGAACATATATGTCAAGCGATCTACCCACTATCTCCCAACCGGCTCGCCCTGGTAGCGGGTGGGCAGCCCCCTATTGGAAGCAGTCCTGGATGAAGGTGGCCCACTGCCCCCTTCTCCGAGTTCCTCCTGCGCCAAGTGTGAGTGGGGAGGGGTAGGCGTGGGGGTAGAGGCCGCTAGAGCTGGGAGGCGACCTGGCACGGCCGGGCTCTCAGATCATCCCTCCGCAGGCCCCGGGGTGCTGGGGACCCCGCCCGCCTGCGGGGCCAGGGCTCGGCTCTGCCCGCCCACCGCGGGGCGGGACGCAGGCTCCGCAGCGCGGGGACCGCGCGCTCCTGGAAGCAGCCACCGCGCCTCCGCGCGCCGGGCCCTCGCGGTGTCTCCCGGGTCCCTGGGCGCCGGCCCGGCCCGCGGCCGCCGCTGCCTCTCCCGGGCCCGCGGCTCCTGCCGCAGTCGCCGGCGGCGGAGCAGCGCTCCAGGTACCGAGCCCGGGCGGGAGCGGGGCCGGAGACCCGCGGCCGGGTGGGGAGGGGGTCCTTCTCTCCCAGCCGGCATCCTCCAGCTCGCCGCGGGGACCGCGTCCGCCAGAGCCCGGGGTGCCTCTGCGCTGGGTCCGAGACCTGTCCTCCCCTCCAGGGGCTTGGCTCTGGCCCGTGGGGCCCCCAGCCTGCGACCCCCAGCACCCCGGGTGCCCCTTGGCGCCTCTGTGTCCACTCGCCGAGAGGGGCTTGCCCCGGCCTGGGGAGCGCCCAGTGGCCCTGGGCTCTCAGCTCCCCGGGGCCCTGCCCTCGACCCATCTCACCGCCCGCCCCTTCCAGGAGCTCTGCGCCCACCCGGCCAAAGGCCCCGAGTCCCCGGCCCCGTCCTCCTGACTTGCCTCTCGGTCCTGCTGGAGGTCTCTGCTCCTCAGGTGCCCCTCCCAAACTTCCTACCTAGGTGTTCGCTCCAGGTGTTTCTACATCACACCCGAGGACGCCCCCGGACCCCCTCTCCATCCCCCTCGGGGTGCTGACCCTGACCCAGAGGCCCCCCCCCCCCACCCGCATCCCCGCCTTCCCCGCCTTCCCACCAGCCAGCCTCCACGCCCTCCCGACCCCTCTGGGGCCTCACGTCCTCGCCCTCCGCCCCCATGGTCCCAGAGCAGGTCCCCGCCAACCACAGCACCCCGGACTGGGGGTCGGGGCCGCCGCGGGCGCCCGGGGGCAGCGGCTGGGTGGCTGCCGCGCTGTGTGCGGTCATCGCGCTGACGGCGGCGGCCAACTCGCTGCTCATCGCGGTCATCTGCGCGCAGCCCGCGCTGCGCAACACCTCCAACTTCTTCCTGGTGTCGCTCTTCACGTCGGACCTGATGGTGGGGCTGGTGGTGATGCCGCCGGCCATGCTGAACGTGCTGTACGGCCGCTGGGTGCTGGCGCGGCGCCTCTGCCTGCTCTGGGCCGCCTTCGACGTGATGTGCTGCAGCGCCTCCATCCTCAACCTCTGCCTGATCAGCCTGGACCGCTACCTGCTCATCCTCTCGCCGCTGCGCTACAAGCTGCGCATGACGCCCGCGCGCGCCCTGGCGCTGGTCCTCGGTGCCTGGAGCCTGGCCGCGCTCGCCTCCTTCCTGCCCCTGCTGCTGGGCTGGCACGAGCCGGGCCGCGCGCGGGCGCCCGCGCCGGGTCAGTGCCGCTTTCTGGCTAGCCTGCCCTTCGTTCTCGTGGCGTCGGGCCTCACCTTCTTTCTGCCCTCCGGCGCCATCTGCTTCACCTACAGCAGGATCTTGCTGGCCGCCCGCAAGCAGGCCGTCCAGGTGGCCTCCCTCACCACTGGCACTGCCGGCCAGGCCTTGGAGACGCTGCAGGTATGGAGGTGTGGGCTCGCAGGGAGACCCGGGCGTGGGGGACGGAGAGGAATGAGCATCATTGGGCGCCCACTGGGCATCCACGGCTCAGTATACAATTGCTGGCACTTCCAAGTGGTCGTTCCCAGCGCCCATCTTCCTTCTGAAGTCCAGACTCAATGCCCAACCGTCCACAGGACCCGCCAGGATGTGGGCAGTTTTCCCAAGGGTAACATGTGCAGCAGGGCATTCAGGGGGTCCCAACTCTCTCCACTTGCTCCTCACCCATCTTCCCCATCACGGCCGATGGCACCGTCATGGCATCGTGGCCCAGAAACTCAGGAATAGTTTCTCTCTCATGCTCAGGGGATTCATTCACAAGCCCCTCTATACCTGGGTCATCTCCAAGGACACCTTTCTGATCTCTGGATCCAAGCCACTATTGCTTCTTACTTTGGAGCCTTTTTCTTTTCTTCCTGTGCTGGGTCTTCAATGAGGTGTCCAGGAAGCTACCCCACAGCACATGAGCTCTTCTTCCCCAACAGGGACTGAACCTGTGTCCTCCGCATTGGAAGAGGGGTTCTGAACCACCGGACCTCCAGGGAAGCCCCTTGCCTGGGAGTCTTTGGCCGTCTCCTGCTGCCTCCCACTGCCTCCACCCCAGACCCACTCCTATCCATTTCCTGCACAAAGAGAAACGAAAGGGCGACCCCTCACTCCTTTGCTCAGACCCTCCAGCGGCTCCCATGGCTCTGAAGATGGAGAGGAGACCCGGGCCAGGTTCTGGCCTGGGACCCGGTCCTGCCAGCCTCTCCAGCTGCACCTCCTCCCCTACCCGCTCCCTGCTTCTCTGCACCAGCCCTGTGTCCTTCTGACGCTGCTAGAAGGCGCCAGGCTGTGTGCCCAGGTCTTTGCACTGGCTGTGCCCTCTGGAATGTTCTTCCCCTGGGGCTGTCCTTGCCTGACTCTTTAGTTCACAGGTTACTCCTTCCCAGAGGCCCACCCTGACCACCTGTCTGCAGACCTCCCCGCCGTCTGCTACCTCCGTCTCGACCCCCAGTTAATTTCTTGGTTTGTTCATTGTCTGCTCCCTCGCCGGCGTGTAAGCTCCCACAGGGGCTGGGCTTATCTGGGTGGGTTTCCATCTCCACTGCACCTAGTAGGCGTCCTTGTGAATGAGGTGGGTGCTCTTAGCTGCAGGCCCTGCAGCATCTAGAGTGGAGCGGGTTCCACAGCACCTGAGTCCTGGCACCCTGCTGCCCAGGGATGGGCATTCAGACTGCCCAGGCCTGAGCCCCAGAGAATTAGACCACAGGTCCCAAGAAGGTCCCAGCGGGGCTCTCTAGTGTCCTTTAGGTGTGGCCTCAGGTGTGGGAGGTGTCTCAGGGTGGGAGGTCCCTGGGGTGGTGCTTACTGGGTAGACGGGGCTGAGAGGCTGCCATCCTGGCTGGCAGCCCCCAAGTGGCTCATCCGTGTCTCCCCTGCAGTGAGGCCCATCAGCTGGGATGATGGCGTCCTGGGTGGACAGGAGACCTTGGCTGCAGCCCGCTCTCTCTGCTGATCTATACTCACTGGAGAACCTTCTCCAGTCTCTGCAGGTGGCTGTGACCCTGACTTGGTTCTCGAGCTTCAGGATGGCTGCCATGGGCTGTCCACGCCCTCTCCCTGGGTTCTTGTAAAGGAGCGTTTCCCAGACTTCAGGCTTTTGGGAACTGCCTCGGGCATCTGCCTTGCTATCCTGCCGCCCAGCCTCACGCAGCCTGCGAGTCTGCAGCCATATGTACTTAGCATTTTCTTGGAGTCATCTCATCTTCTTACTTCCATGAATTTATTTAGAAAGAAAACTTCTTATCTCTTTCACTAACGGAAACATCAGTATCCTTGCCAGAAATAGAAGGGGGTCAGAGCCGCAACTTCAGTGAGGCTGCAGCAGCCCCAGCAGTGTCGCTGAAGTCCAGCTTGGATGGCTGGAGACGCTGAGCCCAAGGTCTCCTTTCTCTTCGTTAGATGCTGGAGGGATGTTAAAGATACAGCAGCATCGGCACGAACCTTTCTCTGGACCTAACCAGAGGAGCTGGGAGGGCGCTCTAAAGGCCCCTGTTCTTACTCTGAGTCAGTTATTTTGTCGGGTGTTCATTCACCTCCAAGGTCATCTGCCCATCCCATTCCGCCCTAATGACTAAGGAGGTGGAGCTGGCTGGTCTTGGTGGGGCTGGAGTGGAGAGGTCTAGATTCTTGGTTACAGCAGTGCCTGTGAAACAGATTTTCTTTCTGTGAAGCTAACCAGCTGGCACTTGAATTTAAAAAATAATAATTTTATTTATATGTTTTTGGCTGTGCTGGGTCTTCGTTGCTGCGTGAGCTTTTCTCTCCTTGCGGCTCACGGGGTTAGTTGCTCCATGGCGTGTGGGATCTTCCCGGGTCAGGAATCGAACCCATGTCTCCTGCATTGGCAGGCGGATTCTTTACCCCTGAGCTACTGGGGTAGTCCCCTGGCACCAGGATGGAACCCGAGACTGTGGCCTTAGCACCTGGGCAGCTGTCCAGCCTTTGAGCACCCACGATGTGCTGGGCAGTGAGCTAAGTGAATCCCTGGATGCCCACAGGGGCCAGTAAGCCCCGTCGCTGTTTGCCAGCTGGAGGGCTGGGGGTCGATGAGGGGAGGCCACTTGCCCACTGTTGCACGTCTGGTCTGGGAGGTTCAAGCGCAGAGCCCGGGTCTGAGCCTTGCGCTGCCGAGCCGGCGGTGACGTGCCCTTGAAACCCGGCTCCCCGCTCACCGCCCTAGGTGCTCTGCTCCACTGGCTCTCCCCCTCGGTCTCCTCTGCTGGGTCCTCCTGCTTTGCCGCCATCTGAGGCACCCCCGGCCTCAGTCCTCGGACCGCCTTGCTTTTTCCCACGTTCACTTCCTTGGTGAGCTTGCCCCATCCCGTGCCCGGAAGTACCACATGCAGGCTGATGACTCCCAGCCTGGACCACCCACTTACTTCACCCCCAGCAGAAGTGGGATTCTTTTTCCAGGCTCCAGACGTGGTCTTTAACTGGACTTCCTTATGTCGACTACGTGATGTGTGTTGCTCAGGCCAGGAACCGTGGCGGCAGCCTGGACGCCTCTCTTTCCCTCTCGCGGCACACGCCGTGTGCTTTCTGTGTTCAAAACACACGTAGGGCCTGACCGCTTCTCCTGTGCCACTGGCTGCCCCCGCCCCCTCCCCCAATGGCTGAGCCCTTCATCTGATGCCCAGGCTATGGCACTGATCCTCCTCTGGCTTCCTGAGCCCATTCGTGCTTCCTTTCGATCTTACACTGCAGCCATGGCGATCCCTGGGAGTTCCCTGGCGGCCAGTGGCTAGGACGCAGCACTTTGCCTGCTGTGAGCCCGAGTTCGATCCCTGGTCGGGGAATTAAGGTCCCACAAGCCGGGAGGTGTAGCCAAAAAAAAAAAAAAGTGCAGGCCCTGCCGTGAGAGCCCTTGCCTCTCGCCTGGTCTCCTTTCCTCCACCATCCCCTCACTCTCTCTGTTTCAGCCGCACTGGGCTCCTTCTTGTTCCTTGAGCACCAAGGACACTCCTGCCTCAGGACCTTTGCACCTGCTGTTGCCTCTGCCTGGAGAACCTCACGTCACCACACAGATCTCCCCCTAACTTCCGTCCTTTTCCTCTGGCCTCTGCTTGGCTGTCTTACTAACTGCTTGATTAGTAACAAGATGACACTTGCACAGATCCCCTCCAGCCCTCATTTCCTAAGTTGTTCTCAGCAGAAAATAGCACCGCCTGACACATTGCACACTTTCCATTTATTGTTGGCGTGTTTGCTCCCTCCCACTAGACGATAAGTTCTGTGAGGGTAAGGACCTGTCTTGACTGCTGTGTTCTCAGCATCTAAAGGAGGGTCGTGAGTGTTCATTGCTCAGTGATGAAAGGAACTAAATGGACACAGCGCTTCACAGAGCCCAGGATTTAACCCCAGCTCATCTTTCTCCCTTCTCTTCCCCTTTTAGAAGCAGCTCTCCTCGCTGATGGACCCTGCACTTTTTAATCCATTCATTCATTCACTTCCTCAGTGCTGTGCTGAGTACTTTTCTTTTTATTTATTTAAAGTGAAAGTCGCTTAGTCATGTCTGACTCTTTGCAACCCCATGGACTGTCTGTGGAATTCTCCAGGCCAGAATACTGGAGTGGGTAGCCTGTCCCTTCTCCAGGGGATCTTCCCAACCCAGGGGTCGAACCCAGGTCTCCCACATTGCAGGCGGATTCTTCACCAGCTGAGCCACCAGGGCAGCCCTGGGCCTTGGTTGCAGCATATGGGATCTTCAGTCTTCATTGCGGCATGTGGGGTAGAATTCCCCAGCCAGGGATGGAACCTGGGCCCCCTACATTGTGATCACAGGGTCTTAGCCACGGGACCGCCAGGGAGCTCTGCTGAGGACCTCCCTTATGCAGGAGCTGTCCTAGGCGGCGAGTGCAGGCGTGAGTGGGTCTGAGAAGGTCCTGCCCTCTTGGAATCTATGTTCTAGTTGGAAAGAGAGATGGTAGTCACGACACCCTATCATGATGAGGGTTCTGGAGCTTATAAGAAGGGTGTCTCTCCTAGTAAACATCAAAAATCTATCACTCCCTGTGGGTATGTTTGCAAAATCAAGGAAGTCACAAAACCAAAGGCTGAGAGGCATCTTCACGGGTCCTTTAGCCTCTGGGTTTCCCAGGTGGCGCTAGGGGTAAAGAATTTGCTTGCCATTGCAGGAGACATAAGATCCCTGGGTTGGGAAGATTCCCTGGAGGAGGGCATGGCAACCCCCTCCAGAATTCTTGCCTGGAGAATCCCAGGGACAGAGGAGTCTGGCGGGCTACAGTGCATAGGGTCACAGAGAGTCTGACACGACTGAGCGACTTAGCACACACATGCGCTGCCTCTGAGGCAGAATGACTCTCGGCCTCTCAAGCCTGAAATATGTCTGTGTGACCATCTCCCGCTTTCTGGAATGCCTCTTCTCTTGGTTTGAATAAGCAAGTGTCAGACTC